AGATATAAAAGTCATTTGACCAGAACGATAACCTAAGGGTTTCATCTTTTAAGATCTTGACCTACCCACGAACAAACTCGTGAACTCTTTGTACAGTTCGTCCCTAATTCAAGAAGACCATAAATAATACCCCATGTTATCCTGTGATTTCAAAAACGTTAGGCTATCGTATCGTATAGTACTAAATGCACTTAATTTTTTTACACTCTCTCCCTATTTTTATTTCTTTTTAGACTTTTTCTTTTTTATTCACAGAAAGTATAGTATAAAACGAACAAGAAATTTCGAAAGTTAACCGTCTGTCAACGAGAAGCTATAGACTCGATAATCAAACTGGGGGAAAAAGGAAGCCGATTATGAAATTTGTAGTGATTTACGAGCGAGCCTTTTTTGAAAACCGACGAATGAAAAGAGTGTTCGGTTATTGTACAAATTTCCATGATACTTTAAAGAAAAAAAAGTGAAAAACGAATTCAACCATTTCTCTGATTTAACTACTAAATAATCTCGATATTATTACTTAAACAATTGAATGTAATTAAGCAAACAAATGTTATTCGTACTTTTATTTCTTTTACTAATAAGAAAGTTAAACATGATATGTTTTCGAAATACGTACGTATTTCTAAGAAAACATATAAAAGATGAACACATTGGAAAGTGGTAACGATAAACTTTGTCTGTCGAATAGGCACAACGTGTGATACAATATATTAAAAGAAAATTGTTAGCTGCGTATAAACGCGTAAAAAAGGAAAGAAATAAGAGATATCTAATCTATAAAAGAAAGAAAAAGAAATATAATAAAATGAAAACTTTCTTGGCATAAACGATTATCTCACGATGAGAATAGTAAAAAATGTAAAAAAAAAGAAAAACATGTGTGCAGATCACACGTGTTAGAAGTGAAACCTTCAAAAATCTAAGTTTCGAGAGAATGAGACGAATGCACAGTTTCAAAAGTAAGATAATTGTAGGATTTATTTATTATAATATTATTACCATATATAATAAAGGTCACCGGTATGGTCTCTGTGTGGAATAGCTGATAAAAAGTGCACTTTTCCAAATTCAAGCAATAAAAATGGAATG